GTGATTTTTTGGTTTTTTTTCGATTTTTTTGGATTTTTTTCCTTTTTTCTGAATTTTTCTCCCTTTTTCTTTAACGAAATTTAACGAACAGCTAATAAAAATTAACGAACCGGACTTAACGGACCGGATGACATCTTTGAGTGGCCACCTCTAGAGTGGAGTTGAGTTTTATTCAGTCCTTGAGACATGAGGCTTGGTGCTGGTAAGGCTGATAGTGGTATGGGACACCGGAAGTTGAGGCCAAGCCAACATTTCATTGATTGATGATTGGGCTGGGATAAATAGAGGGCCATGATGGATTAGTGCAGTGAGGAGTCGAGAAATCTTTTATTGGGATACCTTGTCATGGTGGATGTAGAGATGGAATGACTAAGGTATACTGCAGTTTCAAAGAGGAAAAAAATACTTTGGAGAGATTATTCTGAGGGATTAGGACAAAGACGATTATCAGTACATGTATACCGATCCCCAGATGGACAGTTGGCTCATAAGTTTTCTATTTCTATATCAGAGTTGTCAGGTAGTGGATATTCGGATGCTCCTGGTCGACCGGCAACACACTTAGTGTACAGGCAGATAGCACTCGTGCTGACCTGTTGTATTCGGACATAGGTCATAACATTATTTCATCTTTTTTGCTTTCAAGATGAACGCGAGTGTATATTCAACATAATGATGGGAGAGACCTGACTTAGAGATTTATGAGATGAGCAGTTGTTGCAGTGATAATAAAGAGGTCCCAATAGCAAGAAGATCAGTTGATTTTTTCTTGTACACTGGAACATATCCCAAAATTCCATAGAGGGATTAGACAGATGGTCATTGGAGTATACCTGAGGTGACGTAGCTTGGTAGTTAGGTCAACCATCGAGTAGCCGATAGAGGACGTTGACTTCGGTCTTGTTTTCGAGGGCAAAAACTCCCCCCAGGGGGAAGTAATGTTGTGGAAACACATGGGGGTCGAGAGGATTATGGCCATTAGTCGTGGTTGACTAGTCATCTGTGGGATTATACCCATTATTTGGATTTTTTGTGATCTCTAGATACTCGTAGACTCTTTACTTGTCTAAATCCACCAGATATGGAGTACTTTGTGGCTTAGGGAAATCCCTGTACTTAAGGGACAGACCGTGGGGGCAGACTGGGCTGCGATGTATCGATAGTGGGTCCGATACGGGGGTATGGTGGGCGATACAATCGTGACACGCTGGTGTATATTTTGTGGTGTCTGTGTGATGGGTGGCCGGGCCGGAATGTGGCCGACCACCAGTACGTACGCGGGGGCGCGTTGCTCCCCGCTCTGTTACTGTGACGTGGCTGCTTGGGGTTTAGGCTTATTTGACATTTATGGAGTGAGAATTACGTAATTGGCCAAATCAACCTTTTGTGAGTGTTATTAAGAGCTTCCTGGTTCCAACGAGCTTTTAAACGCCCGATTCTATTAAGAAACGGCGAAGATATGGCCTCCTGAAGTCGTAGTACTTAGGGCCAGGGGGTCGGGTGTTAGACGCTTGGAATTAGAGGACAATGGGTCGATCGTAGGTGAACGGTGGACGGTGACGATGTGCCTGGATGCGCACTTGTCTTGTCTTGTCATGATTTGACTGCGATGGACCCGCGATCGGGCATCGCGCATGCGATATGTGCGCGCGCATGCTGTGAATCCATGTAACCGTTCTGGCCCACTCTCTGGCCTCCCGCGAGCCAGCGAACCACCACCTCGCTGCGCCGCCACCTCTCGCTGACAGCAGGCCCCGGGGATCGATCCCCGTCGAGCATTGGGCCCACCGCGCGACCACAGGAGCGACTGCCCCGGATACGCCCACCGTCCAAGGTGGAGAGGGCCGGCTGACCTCCAACAGCCGAGCTGCAGGGCAGGGCGACCCCAACGCCTCCGGAAACCAGCGGCTGCCGACGGGGCCGCAACAGTTACCCGTTTGGCTCACTACCTCGCTCTGCACGGGCCTCGCGGCCCGGGGAGCAAGCTGCCTTGCAACCCGCCATCTTCGAATAGCAGGACTGCACGATCCCAGAGCGCAAGAGGGCCCACCGTGCAATGAACGAGCGAGCACCCCGATTACGCCCGCCGGGTTCGGCGGAGGGGCCATCGGCCCAACCGGGTGCAGGCGGATGAAGTGGGACGCGCGCAAGAAAAAGGGGACTAGTGGAGGTCATTAACAGGGCCCTGCAACAGCTATGACCATTCGGCTGCCTTGTTGCCCCCCTGGGGCAGCTATATAAACAAACACAAATTGGATCAACTTGTAATCAAAGGTTGCACTGAACTTTCTCTCCCACTCGCACCACCGACCAGCCCCGACTCGAACGGGGAGACGGGCCGTGTCCTGTCCGGTTGAAAAGGGGAACCGCCCCTTACAATAAGCTTGCACAAAAGGTGGAGGAAAATGTGGAATGGTTGCGTAGCGTGAAAAGCTAGCTAGACGCAATTCTGCACTGGTTGGAAGAGAGCGGATTGGAGGAGATGCGCTTGGTGTTGGGACCGAATGGCGATGGGCGAGCGTTAGCGTTCACCCAGAATGGGTCGGAACCGGGAATGTTTGGTGGCGAATCATCCCCGAGGATGGCGGGTAGTGGTGCGCCGGTATTGGCAAAGCAGTGCGAGGTGGTTGGTGTTGGTTTGAGGCTGGAGGGATTGGCTCCGAATGAGACCAACGTGCAGGTGGAGGTGGTGGGGGGATGGCCCCACCCGCAGGAGGCATCAGATTGCCCGCCGGTGACCACGACGTTGCCGCCGGAGAAACGCCTCGTGGCGCAAGGCCACTCTATTTTAGAAAGCGGCTGAGAGCCACAAAGTGAGCTGGTGTCAAGAGGCTCAGTGGTACGCGGCTAGTCAACGATGCACAAAATGGCCGGGGTACGTGGGATGTGATTGGGCACGAGCGCTGGCACCGGTCAGCCACCCGCTTCATAGCAGGTTCTTATGTCAGTCTGGGGGCAAATGGGAAATTGTTTAATTTTGATAAAGTTCAAAACGTCTGGGTGTATGGTTTTGGGCCCCCAGATCTGGTAGATAGGTTTGTTAGATTGCCACTAGCGTCAGAGAAGCAGACTGGCCTCGAATACTTAAAGGAATATTTATAGACGGTTAGCGGTGAAGGGATTGAGAAAGGGAAGTTACGGAAGATGTGCAGTTGCATGTAAGCAGCTGAAACGATGAGCAGAGCGCTGTGCTCATGGGTGGAAGTCGTTGGAAGAGGGGAGGTGCACGGTGAGTGAGTGTTAAAGGGAAAGCGGTGTGTGTTGATGTAATGTGAATGTAAAGTGATTGCAAGTGCGAAAAGTGAAGGTATTTAGGAAGGGAAACAACCAAGCTGCTTGAACAAGGGCTGTGAGCTGTGAATTGAAGCTCTTGAGGTGTGAATTTCATAGTATGGAGTCGATGAGGTGATGGCAAACAGCGATAGTGTCCTGACAAGACGGTTGGGGGATAAAAGGGCTGGCGGATGGCCAGTTTGTAGAGCGACCAAGCCGACGCTGCGAACCGCCCAAGCTGAGCGACGACCTAGAGAGGGGCTGAGTGTTGGAATGATGCTAACAGCGTGCTGTTGACCGTTGGCGTTGGTCGACGCAGCAAGAAAGCGTCTCGTTCAGTGGATTGAGGATTGCATTGCTGAAGTGGATACGGTGTTCCAAATAGAGAACGGGGAAGACCAGAACAGTGATTGTCGATTGTTCGACAAATGACAATTGACTTCGGTGTGAAAAGTGTTGTTCCTATGTGTTTTGACTTTAGCTTAGGGAAACTCTTGAAAGACAGCTTCAGGCGTTACCTCACTTCAAAAAGTCTAAGCTAAAGTGAGGTGATCTGCCGGTGTGAATCGCTGCTCTGTGAATCGGTACGGTTTCATTCAAAAGGGCATAAAGCGAGTTGAACTGCAGTTGATGTCCTTCAACCTGATCCTGAAATTGTCCCTGGAAGTGTATTGTACCCCTGAGTTCAAAAGGGACCGAGAGGTAGCAACAGAAGAGAGAGAATTCTGCCGTCCTTCGACAGCCGTTCAAAATAGTGGCAGACACAAGAAATGCAAACGGGTTGAGTTTCAGGAACCAAAGACAGTGATCCATCTGCCTAAATGGCGATCACAAGGGACGTCCTTCAACAGCATTCATTCTGATTCGAATATACGTGGCCGTGACTCACCAGCCTTAATCGGCAGTCACGCGCGATGACCATTCAACACACCAAGTACCGACCTCAGCACTCAGTTTGTACTTAAAACAATTGCACTCAGCACTTGATTCTCTTCATGCTTGGTTGCCAGCATTCATTCAATCCATGTGCGTGAATTGAGTGAGTGCTGGGAACCATCAGCAATTAATAATACTTTCCCCTTGGTGCCCAGCTTTCGAGGGCGAAAAACAGCGCCCCGCTCCACTGGCGCACATTTTTTGCTAAAGACGAATAATATTACTGCCTGCACCAAATCGGTGAATGCTTGCACCAAGTCATGTGCACACTTTGTCCTAACCTCAGTTTTAGGGTTAGGTTTAGTTCAGGGTGAGTTTTAGGGTTAGGGTTAGGGTTAGGACAGGTTTAGGTTTAGGTTTTAGGGCTTAGGTTTTAGGTTAGGTTAGTTTTGACGGAGTTGGACATGATGTGCACGTGACTTGGTGCAGTCACCGTTTTCGTGCAAGCAGTCACCGATTTGATGCAGGGAGTAATTTTATGCCCCCCCCCCCCTCGGCCACGTGTGCCGCGCCTTTCCGTCCGCCTCGGCGCCACCGCCCCGTCCTTTCCCACGCGGCGGCCGGGCCCGCCCCCCCACGCCCCCCCACGCTGTCACAGCACCCAGCCCCGATCCCCAGATCGCCCAAAGCAACCCCCCCCAAAAAAACAAACCGTAAGACCCTCCCGCCTGCCCCTCTGCGGCGCTTCGCGGCTCCCCGCAACGCTTCTTGGCCCTTCGTTTTTGCCAATCGGGGGCCTGGGTTGTGATCGGGGTGGGCCAGGATCGCCTGGGAGGGGTCCAGGCGGCGGGATGGCCGCGACGCTGTTTGACACAAAGCCGGGGGGTGTCCTCCAGGGGCGCTCGGGCGCGCCAGCGGCCAGCCCCACGCTGGAGGACCGCCTGTGCGGGGAGGTGCTGCGCAAGCTGCGGCTGGTGAGATTTCGTGATTTTTTGCGGCCGAGAGTTGTTTGTTGCGGCATTCGATTGCCGAGTCGATCGGGTGCGTTGGGGCGGCGGGGGCGGGGTTGTTGCGTGGCGGAGTGGCGGGGGGCAATCCCGCTTTGCCCCTCCGCCTTTGGGGAGATTTGGCGGGGCCCCCGAGGCGAGACGGGGCGGATGCGAGGGAGAGGGCGGCGAGCGAGGGTGCAGCGTTTCCGCTGTGGTACGGCGGGGGCGGGCATGCGGAGGGCGTCCGTGGACCGGCGGTTGTCGAATTCGTGCTGTCGGATTGAGTAAGGGTTGCTGCGGGAGAGTGTGCGATTGGGGGGTGGTGGCGGGGGGGGGATGCCGCGGGCCGGCAGGGCCGGTCGCTGGCGCGGGGCGCCGCAGCTGGGGAACCGCGCGTGGGGCCCCCGGGGGCGATCGCCCCGCTGGGCGCCGGCGCGAAATCGTCGCGGGCGAGCCCGGCCGTGGGTCGGGTTCCGCTCGGCGCTCGCGTCGCCCCTTCCTGCTGCGAGGGCTTTTCGCGGAGCGAGGCGCGTCAACCGCGCAGTCCGTTCGGCCACACTTTCGCGGCCTTTTGTGGGACCGCGCGGCCCCGGCCGTCCCGGTGCCGGGCCCCGCGGCTCGCGCTTCTCGTCGCTAGCGCCGCGCGGCCATCCCCGTCGATGCGACCGCCGCGCGTCCAATTCCCCGGGCGCGTTTTCGCCTTCACAGTCGCATCCTGTCTCCGGCCTTGTTGTCGTGATGGCCCCAGCGTCAGCTTGGACGTGTCGCGCCGTTCGAATGAGGCGACAGGGCCGCGGAGCGATCTCCGCGTGCCTGGTTCTGGCGAGATTGGCCGCGAAAACCGATTTTGAAGATTGATTTTGGTTTGAGAGCTGGTTTTGGCGACTTGCTGCGGCCGCTGATCCGTGATGTGCCAAGCAGGCGTGCGAGTCCGTGCCCGAGGACAGGGAGACGATATGCGAGGAGGTCTTCTCGGACATAACGGGGGCGCTGGACAGCTTTGCGCGAGGTGGGCGACGGCAGCCTCTTCTTGCCTGCTGTGTTATGGGGTAGTGAGGTGACACATGGGCGGTCCTGGGTGTGTCCATGATAAGTTCTGGTGGGTCGTGTATTGCGGGTATAGCACGAACGGTGACATGCACATCCTTGTCATAACAACATGAGTAGGAAATCTCCTCCTTCTTCTTCTTGCATGATGAAATCACTTGATTGAAGTGACGACAGAACACAGCCTTCGTGTCTTGGAGGCCCGCAATTGCCTTCAGGATGCGAGGGTTTGGATAGGGCCTGTGTTGTTGACATGGTGCAGATCAGGGAAGTGTGCGCACGTTGGGAGGCAATAGTGACGACCATTCTGCACACACGAATAGGCCCACTTTGCCTCTTCGTCCCACTTTGAATTCCATGTGTGCAATGTGCACGCTGTGCTCTGTGCGCCATCGCTGGGAAGCACTCAGTTTGAAAGCGCAAGACCATTGCTGTGGTGGCTATTGACAAATGTAGTCAAAGGACTGTCCTCAGCAGGAAAATTCGCAGTGTCAGCAGGTCTGGGCAGATGCTCACAAGTAGTTCTGCAGCATCGTGCTGAGTGCCAACAACAGCATGCTGGCTTATTTGGGCAATAGTTTAGGCACCAAGAATAGGTCTGTCTTGGCAGAAATGGCATGCTGCTGTATATGATGTGGCATATGTTGCAGTAGTAACCCAGATCTTCTATGTGGGGAGTGATTGCGTGCAAAGACATGCAACTAGAGAGACCTGAATGAGGAATCCACTTGCTGCGTATTGCTGGGCCGAACTGCTGCTGTTCAAATTCATGCTATGCCGGTGGGTCCAAATGGGGCCTTTCTCTGTGACTAACAAAAGGCAATGGGAGGCAGTTCAGTCAAATGTGGCAGAACCACACCCTGGGCCAGCAGAATGCTTGGCTGACAGTTGTGGCTGTTGGCCAATGTACAGGGTGTATTTGCAACATTCGCTAGGGTGACCTGACAGTGTTCTGTGGTGCAGAGGTTTTGGGCTCCACGGGCAGGCTCTCGTTCTACGAAATACTTGCAGACTATTACCTTACAGTGAGTGCACATGCCCTCCCCTCCCTTTTCCTCCTGGAATGTTTAGTGAATTGTGTCTGTTGCTTGCAATGTGGAAAACAACACGTTGGTTGTTGCGCTGAACTCAGATCATCATAAGGCAGTTCCAGTTTTCTGTGTACAAGCACCTCCCAATGGTCGGCAAAGGAATGCCCCTACCACAGCCTGCAGATACTGACGCAAAGTTTGCATCTATCGCCTCTTTAACCTCTTGGATGGTCACCAGCAGATATCGATGCTGCCTTGAACGCTTCACAATCTACCCATGCCCAGAAGCATGGCCGTCAGACTGTGTGTCACAGGCTTCAGTATGGAAAGGAAACACACCAAAGATCTTGTCCAAAGGGGGTGTCCATTGCTCACCTCAGGCTGCATGGTGTCTAGACTCATCCCAGTCAAGTGTGGGCAAGAATACCACAGGCACCCTGTCGGCAGGCTGTTTAACTGTTGACTCTGTTTGTTGCATCTGTGTGGACTGCGTTTCTGTTGAAATATCAAGTCTGAAATTTTGACTTGGCAGTTCCAAAGATGGTGTCCTGGACATGCTGTGTGGAAGCACATGTCCCCAAAAACACATTGGTGGTCGCTGCAAAACGAATGTGCACAAAGGAGCTTCCCACTGATGGTAGAGTGGGGACTGGCAAAGCCTATCAGCTGACACCCCTACAGTGTCTACCCTCTTGGCGTTGCCGTACAAGCCCCTGTCTGCCAAATTCACAGGCCTGATCCAGAACATTGCATCCGTCCAATGCCAGACATGCATTCATTTGCAGTATGAAAGACCCCCAGAACAATGCACATGCAAATGCAACACTGACACAGTATGCGGGGCTGGAAAGTTGTTGCTAGAAAGTGTACCAATTGTACACTTTGTTTTTTCCAGCTTGGCAGAAAAAGGCTCTGCAGAGGCTGATTGCAACAGTCACCATTCCCTCAGGAGATCAGGTGTCTGCAGCACATGCGCTGAAAATGCTGAAAGCAGGCACTGCCCCTGGCAAGATGCTGTACATGAAGACGGACAACGTTTTCACAAACCAATATTGGATATTGGATATTCACAAGCGATGTGGGACCCAAACTTCGGGTTTCGGCCACTGCCCAGATGAATTTTGGCTGCACCTTGCCTGGTCTCATTGCCAGCAGTGGCCATCTTGTTACTGAAAGACGCAGACCTGTTAACAGTTGATGTACCCTAAACCACAGAATGTATGCTGTGAAAGAGTATATGATTTCAGCAAAGAGCTTAGCAGCATTAATGTGAAGCCCTCGCTTTCCCAGCCTGGCTCAACTCTGGCATCCATTTGGTTCTGCACATTTTGAAGCAGAATGCTGTAGCCTGTTCCAATGGGTCAGTACCCTGGTTAGCCACAACCCTAAACCAAAGACACAGCTTCTAGAATTTAGGGCTGCAGCGCTTAAATCAAGTCCCCATGTGTTGTGCAAACAGAAGTCCAGTCTCCCTAGCTCTGCAGCTCCTTGCACTCAAGCCAGAGCTGTGCCAGTACTCCCATAGACAGTACATCTGTTTGGGCAGCAGTTCAAGCTCTTGGTAGTCAGCAGCTGGGGACTGAGCAGATGTAAACACGATCAAATGCTGTATGCATGAAGAAAGAGGCAAGTGAGACAAGTGCCCAACATCACAATTCTGGTGAACGGACTTTGATTGTTGTGTGAAAAATGTAAAATGTTGAATTGAGCAGTGTGACCACACTTTGTCTGCTCTCCATAAAATGCGAGCTTACCCTCTTGTTCTGATGTGCTTCAGCATTGGTCGGCGGCTGACCAGCTGTTGGCCATTTGCCGTCGGATCTGGGGTCAGCCATTCGTGGCGGCCATATACACACTGCTGCTCCACCAGTGGCTCCTGGAGAGCAGGGATGCGGGGGGGGCAGAACAGAGACAGAAGCACCTCAACGTTCTTGTGTCAGGTGCGACTTTCTTTTCCTCTTTTACTTAGCTGTTGCAGTCCCGAGTGTGTGGACCTTGTTCGCTCAGTTGTTCTGTCAGATGTTGTGCCTTGTCTTGCACTTTTGCTGTTGCCAACTATTGTTTTGTTTTTGTGGTATATGCGATATGCCCCTGCCAAATAAGTGCAGACAGCATCTCTCGAAATTGCATTTGAGAGTTTTAAGTTGCTGCATGTGTTAATTAGCTATTGTGCCAGATGAGACATTCTGTTGCAGTATGCGGTGCTCGTTGATTCTAATGATCACTCCCAACACCCTCTCACCACAGACTTCCTGTCCTCCCAGGATTGAGTGTCATACAGTGCACGTTTGTGGCAAGAACGGATCCCGAGCGCCCAAAATAGCCTCATTGCTCAAGAGTGCCTGCCTGCACTGGTTCGTCGTGTATGGTGTGTGGAATCCACCTTGACAAGAATTCGTATGTCTTGAGAATTTGGCCTGTTGCACTGAGTGAATTCCTTCTATCTGTTGCGGTTGGGCCAGATTAGTATCAGCTGTATCAGATGGGCACGCGAGTCTTTCTGTTTCAGAAGGACGCTCAACAGTGCTTGCACCTGGATCCCCATCTCTGTCATCAAATCGCTCACGCTTGTGAGACCGGGCACCCCACCACGTTTCCCCAATAACGACGCCGACTGCTCCCTCAACGGCGTGGAGTCTGGAAGGCAGTAGCCTGATTTGCATTCTGACTTCTTGGTTCCAATCCTGTTAGTGCCAATGCACCTGTTCATTCACTGCTGTCCAGGTTGTGCCTCCCGTGGTCTCTTAGCTGGAAACATGGTCGATTTGGCAACATATGTGTGCTCACTAAAATTTCAGCAGAAGGCTGCAGTGCTGATATTGTCTTGTGGTGTTGCCTGCGGGTCAGGCGCTCGACAGCTATTTTGGATCGATGTGCACGCTAGCACATTGCGATTCCGTCCTCTATACCACTACACTTTCCAGCGCCTCAAACTTAGGCAGGACTCCATCATACTCGATTTGCTGCCAGCCACCGCACGCACCGCCCTGGTGACCCTCATCGCATGCTTCATGCCATACTACGTTGAGGCCCAGGTGGGAACAATCTCCACCATGCACTGCTGCACATTCAGCATTGATCGCATTTTGCATTGATCAACGATTAACATCTGCATTGACTGCACATAGAATATTAGCAAATTGCTGTCTTCTGCAGCACCGATTTGATTGACCAGCATTCAGCAGGAGTTGCACATGCACACGCACACACACGCCCCCTTCCTCCTATTGATGTCTTAAGATGTGACTGCACCAAGGGAACGGACACAGCCACAACTGTGTCATGCAACAGGTCTGGGCGTCTTCAAATCAGTTACAAAATGACAGCGGTTGCCGCTTCCATGTTATTTTGGCTGTCAAATGTCCATTCTAGGATCGAGTGTTGGCAAGCCACAGCTGCCCTGCTTCTCCTGTGGGTGCCTGGTGCAGTGTAGTGTGTACTGTGTATCAACGAAATTTGGATCGTAGCAGATTGCACCAGACCTATCGCCAAGAGTTTCCTGTGGATTGCTGTGGTCATATGGAGTCCGAATAAACGGAAGGGGGAGTATCGGTGTTGTGTCGTTTTCAGGATATGCCAGAGGCAGTTGGCCACTTCCCGTCACCCGACCCAACGCTGCACAGTGACCAGAGGAGTTCCAGGGATGGCGATTTTCTGTTCTCCCAGATCACAGACACACTGCGCGCCATCGGTGGGGAACCTGGCTTGCTGAGATATATCAAGTCGCTGGCGGGCCTGAAGAGCTGCAGGCAGCTCAAGTCAATCAGAACAGTCACCCAGCTCAGACTCCAGGTCGGTACCCCACATTGCCTTTGAGCGTGTCATTGACTTTGCTGATGAACTTCCTTATTCTGTGTTTTGTTCTCTCTTTGTGAACTTCTGATGGGCGTGACCACATTGCTTCTGCTGGTCCTTATGTCTGGCTGACAGCGTGTTCTGTCCTGACCAGCCTGGATGAGCACAGTGTTTGGACCGTGGGTGGATTGGGCCGCCACCTGTTGTTATTTTGTAGGCTTTGGTGCTGATTGTTTCTCCACACTTTCCGCAGGTAGATCATTTTGGCTGCGGCGTAATCTTGGGGATGGAAAGATTGCTTGGGAAAGGGGCGTCAAATGCTGTTGTTGTCCAACTGCCTGCTTTTGTAGAACATCGCACAGGATGGTTATTGAAAGCCAGGATAATCTGCATGTGATATTAAGTACAGTGCCAACCGCCCCCATGAGGAGACAAGCTGATCATGCGATGAGACCCATCAAGAATAAATGAAATGGACCTAATTGAAAGTTGGGCAGTAAAATAAAAAGATAAATATCCTGAAAGGACCTTTCTTCTTGCCCTCCTGCCAGGCCGAACTGTACAGCCTCTCCTCACCAGGCGGTCCTCGGTACACCTCCCGCCCTGTGCGCCACGCTGCCCTGCACACTCTGGACAGCCTCTTCCCCTCAGGCCGCACCTCCCGCCATGTGGTGGCGCTCCTCTTCAGGCTGCTGCACCCCTTGGAGTGGCCCGCGTCGGTGGCGGCCGCCACCAGGAGGTGGTACCTTGGGGTCCAGGGTCGGGTATTCAGGGCCGCAGCCGCGATCGCAGCATTCCTGTGGATGCTGTGGTGCTGGTTGTGCAGCAGGGTGGCTGGACTGTGGACAAGGCGTTGATGAGATGATGGACGAAATGTTGGCGGCACATTGATTGATGCTCAGGGAGGGGACACGGGGCTGCATGCGACAACCATGCGGAAGTCGGCTGGCAGGACATTGCATGGGGATGGGAAGATGTGCAGAGTCAGGCCGGTCACGGGTGGTTGTACGAATTGGTGCGATTGTGCGAAATGTGTGGGGTAATGGAACGCCGCAATCTTAAGGATGCTTGTGGAATGTGACAAGTGAATGCTTTTAGCTCGCTGGCCAAGTGAAGGGGGAAACGAGGCGACTCTGGGCCCTGGTAGCACCTGAGAAGTGTGTTTCGAAACCCAATGGTTCGGGTCAGCGCATAGAAGGGAGGGGGATGAACACCTTGCTCAAGGAAGTGGGGTGCCTGAAATGGTGGCAGTCTTTTCTGCATGGAAGCCGGGATTGTAACACGACGTGTTTCTGTGTGGGGGGCCACACAAGGACCGCTTTTGGTGCCAAACGGGGGAGACGGAGATTTGGCGTATTTCTAGGCAAGTTGTACGTTTGTCACGAATTGGATTTGTCGGCATTAGTAGGGTTGTTGTCGAAGTTAGTTTGTCGCAATTGGGGCGGCCCGCGCCCCGTCAGCGCTTGGCCGCGCATAATAGATTCTTTGCAAAAAGCCTCTTGGGCTGCGGGAGGCCCCAGCTTGAGGGCCGGTGGGCCTAAGGCGCCCACTGCCGGTGCCGCGGGATTGAATTTTGGAGGGGGCGGGCGTCGCTGGCAGTTTGGGCGGGGGAATTTTGGAGGGGCGGGAGTTTTCGTGTGCCGCTGTCTCGCCTTTGGACGTGCGTTCGTTGAGAACCCTTGTCCGGGAAGAGTGGCATTAGGCTCAAGTACTTTGTAGCACTTACTGGTGCCAGTGTTGCTGAAAGGCTGTTTGGGACTGGCGTGCTGACGTCACTGACTGTGGCACTGCTCCGATCTACTGAAAGGGACGTGTGTTGGTTGGGACCGGTGCTGACACCACTTCCTGTCGCGCTGCTCGGACCAACTAAAAAGGGGAAGTTGGGGTGTGTAGAGCCGGGCCGCAAGCCGCACACTGGCTGCTTTTGATGCGTTTAATTGTCTTGTAATTCTTGGTATGATTTGCGTGTGGTTGCGCGTGAGTCGTCCTGCATTGCCGGGAGTGCGGGATGAAACGCGGTACTTTTGATGTGTATGACTGCGTTTCCGTGCTCCTCTTTGCCACGAACGCATTGAACGTTGAACTGGCCCGCCCAAAACACATGCCGCGGTCATTCCCCAGGTACCTGTTCATACACATCGCACATGCCCACCAGAGCCACAACATCCCACAGGGAACAAGACACCTGAGCCAGAGTTCAGAGCCCGTGGGCCTGTGACGGTAATGTACATTGAACAGTACGTGTGGTGGCGAGCAAGCACATATGCGCATGTAACGAGTATAATTACTAACGAAACCATGCTTGAGCGACAGGACACTAATGTGTGTTTCTCTCAGTTCACGAAATAACCGCATGATCGTGTGACATGGGCAGGTCTGGGCCAATGTGATTTTATGGTGCAAAGCAAGAAGCAGCAGCAAGTCTCGGTTCCGTACATGCATCCAACGTTGATGTTCACTGCGCTTGCCCAGAAAAGTTTCTGCCAGCTGAGTGGGTAGCCACGTGATCGCACATAGGCAGGCCGTCTTCAAGGGGTGTCAACTTGCTAATCAGCAACTTTAACTTGCGCCGTACCGTACCACAAAGGCGTAACTCTTGATCAATAGAACTGCTGGATGACGGACCGGCTGAGGAGCCGGAAGAAGCGCTCCGTGATGCCCTTGCTGGACACGCGTGCCAGGTCAAGACTGTCATTTGGCCAATTTCGGCACAATGAGCCAGTCTTGCAGATCATTTTATTTATCTAAAGTGACGGTTGAGCAATCAATTTTCATCGCCATGCAGCGGTGTGACATGGCACAGCACTGTTACCCTTCGATGTGGGTCAAGGCTGGCGCAGAACTTTGCTGCCAACTCCTCTGCTATCACCTACGCAATTTGGACAAAGCTAGGAAATGTGCTACTTTATAGGAAATTTACTATTCTATAAGAAATTTACTGCTTTATAGGAATTACGAATCTATAGGAAGTTTACAAAGCTACCACGGGTGGCTTTCGCATTCGTTGCGAACACCCAGCACCCATTGCTGGTCAGAAGGGCAAGAAATTTGTTGGGTCATTGAGGGCCACGCTGTCCTGGTAGGACAGCGTGGACTACAGTGACGCAACCAATCTCTTTCCTTTGCAGTACATAACACCGCGTCCTGCTATGTATTTGCAAGGCACGCCTCCCGGAGAAGATCATATCTCATGGCGCAACGGCAAGCTCTGCTGTGCATACCGGCATATCGCAGAACACTGCACTGCACCGCAGCCCCCAACATTGCCACAATCTTGTGCCGCAGCATCTGAGCGCTGATCGGCATTGCACGAGCCAGAAGAGGTCTTGGGCAGAGGCCAGAGGGAGAATAAGCTGAAATCAGGCATGTCGTTACCCAAGGATACATATCGAAACTTCGTGCGATCCCCTGCGGCCACCATCGTCGCAGAGAGCAAGCTTTCTGGAGGAGTCTGACGCTGCGAAGTAATAAACTTTGTGCCGAATGTTCTAGAAAGGGTGTTAGAGGCTGGCCGCCCAGCCGCATTTCTGGTAGCGCTCTGACCAGCAGCCGTGGAGACATCTGCGCGCCGTGTGGACACCGCATGAAAGCGCTTGGCCGCAAGCAATAGCGTTCTGAGCTGGGAAGGTGGCCTAGCTTTCGAAATCCAAATGGCTCAATGGCTGTTAGTCCGTGGCTGCATCTCCGGCCCATTTCGATGAGACAATGTGACGCGGTACCCATCCTGCTTGGGGGCTTCGACGCAGCAATCCCGGACCGCCTCTGTCGGGCCGACAGTCTCGGCCCGCCGCCAAGGTCTTCACACTTACAAACTCGCCAAGCCGCTGGGAGACCCTGACACAAAGAAAATTCAAATGACAACGTTTACCCATTTCAGACGGCTTGAAGAAAGCAGCATGCAATCCCATGAACCAGAGCGATCGCATTTTCGAGCTGATATGAAACATCGTGGAATATCATGGGATTTCAAGTTGCTGGCATGCTCGCAGAATCTCGGACAAGAATGGTGCTCTTCCCGTTCGTGCAGTCGACTTGCACGCTCGACACGAAAGTACTCAAAGTGCAAGTGTCAGAGAGCAGGGCACCAGCGTAAAAAGGACCAAATAACACTTTTTGCGAACACATATGTATGCATTTCGTCAGTGTTCTGCGCGCTAAAAACACGAAATAACGCTAACCCGTAAAACTTTTACACGTTTAAACACGCGTTATCTGGCCCTTTTTTACTAGTGGGGGGCCCCTCAAAAACACACCTCCCACATGGAAACTCCATGGCCGTGTGGAACAAATAAGTCCAGAACCGCGCCCCAAGCACCCCGAGGCGATCAAGGCATTGCGATGCTCGCCATGTGGATTTACAGGAATGAAGGCACATGGCAAACACTGACTCAGTTGGGCGTATAATGCAACCCATTCCCTGAAGGGTCGTGTTCAGCTGCTGATTATCGTATGCGACCAGTGTTCCCCGCGGCGAAAGGTGGCCAGATCGCAAAATTTTAATCGCACTTCCGTGCCATTTTGATCCGAAGATGAAGTAGAGGCGGATCGCCGGTACATGAGTGAGGCGAACACTGAGACATTGTCACAGTGTTCGCCTCACTCATGTACCGGCGATCCGCCTCTACTTCATCTCTCTATTATGTCCATTGTTTGTCAAACAATGGACATAATGTTCTTGTACGGTTTGGTGGCGACATAGCCCTCAGTGCCAGATATGCAATTATTGGAGTTTCAACATCACCATTCCCATCCGAAGACGAACTCACCCGGACGCGGCATGAACGGTTGCTGCGAGTTCCCGCGACGTGTGCGCGGGGTGTAGGAGGGCCCTTCCAGCAGCCTATGCGCATCGCCGCAAGGTTTGTTTTAACATACGGCTTTCATTCATGCCCCTGCACCGGCCCGCGAGCTGAAGCAGCACCGCTGGCGGTCATCAAGTGCTTCTGTAGTCGCAGGGGGCAGCAAAAAATGTAGAAAATCAGGGAGGCGCATTTTCTTGCCGCTTTTGCCGTTTGATTTTGAAGCTGCGCTGCCTGTGATTGTGCACTGTGAGCCTCAAATTCAGAATTCTCGATCAAATCAAATGAAGTTAATCAAGATCTCTCTGTATGGTCTTGTATATTCAACACATTCTTGTTTGGTATTTATGGCTGTTGTTGCTGACCTGCTTATCAGAATCGGTCGTTATTATATAGTACTAAACTCATCATTCCTAGATCTGAAGGTCAACTAGCGACGCGGCCAATAACTTGTGGAGAAGGACGACACCGTTTCTCACCCTTGATGCATGTTGCTCTGCCTCCTGTTGCTGAGACCTGCGCACAGCACAGCGATGTGACCAAAAGCTGCACATATGTACGCGTGCATGCGTATCCGAGCATGCTCAAATTCCAAGTTTTCAAAAGCACAACAGCTCAAGAACAATTGCGTTTGTTCGGTGCCGAGAGCTGTGTGATGGGACAACCGCTAGCAGGACTCTGCTGCAGAAGGCTTCAAGCATTGCAATGTCATTCTTTCTGCGTGTTTATGCTTCAGCCGCTGCACCGGTAGCATATACAAGAGGGAGCACTTCCATTGCCTTCAGTAGCACATTTGAAATCACTTGGCTCAGTGCTTGCCGCGGCGCCCATTAGTCAGATAAGGGCAAAAGTTCCTTGTTACTTCATTTCAATCACTAGCGCTTCATGGGAATCAATCCATCTGAATGGTAATGGAGAAAAGGATTCAGCACCGCAGTGATGGCGCCAGGCTATCAAGCACCACGCCCTCCTAGTTTTAAAGCAAAAGATTTCCATGCGCTGCGCAAAATATTGTGGGTACACGATAACACCTCTTTCTCCCCTCACCTGACGCCCTG